TGCATAATGAGAAAAAAAAAAAATCCGACCCGTTTTTTTTAATTAAAATGCGCTTTGTCGTCTATTTTCGTTAGAATTTATGGTATGTTATTCTCGTTTTTCCTGGTCTCATTGATTAGAATGGAAAAAATATTATGAAATAGAGGTTGATTTTGATTGATTTTACTATAAAAAGAACTAGAGATATGGAGCTCGAGTAGGGGAAATGTTTGATTTTTGCCAATGTTCAAAAGTAAATCAAATGACTGCCATTGTCAAATAAATGTACATCTAGCATTCTAATATGCAGTCAATGAATGAGGATGATGTTATTTACAATTATTACAGTATTGCAGTAGTCTGCATAATAGTAAGTCTCTATTTTTTGGTTTGAATAAAATTTCAAAATAGAAAGCAAGAGTAATATCGAGGGGCTGGAGACATGATGCATGAGCAATAGAAAATGGTAGTTTAGAGCCAGGATGTTGCAATTGTCATTTTGGACCTTATTTTGAAATTGTCATATTTTTAGTTTTTGTGAAAATTGCCAAATTGCAAATTTTCTGACCACATTTTTATTAGGTCGCTGAAATCGGTAAATGGGCAGTTCTGGTACTCGTGATCGATAGAAAATAAGGGAGTTCTAAAGAAATTTGCTATAAGTTTGGGCAACTGGAACATGGAATTAGCAGAAAATTAGGGCTCAAAGTGGGAGCGAAAATCGCCGATGTGTAACAGCGCCGAGGTCGCCTAACTTCGCGAGAGCATAATTCCTCAGTTTTCCATGAAATTTCGTTTTTTTTTTGTGTCATTACAATCGGGAAAAGATTCTCTATCATTTCATAAGAAAAAATAATTTTTTTTTTTTTTTTAAATTTTGCGACACCAGGAGACACCTCAGGATTGGGGGTTGCGACAGTCAAAGGGTTAAACAACCATGGTGACATTACACATCCCTGTCTAAGACCTACTTTTACCGGGAAGTATTCTCCCTCTCTTCTACACACCCTAACCTGAGCCTCACTATCCTCATAAAAGCTCTTTACAACATTTAGTAACTTACCACCTATTCCATATACTTGCAACATCTGCCACATTGTTCCTCTGTCCACTCTATGTATTGTGCCAAAACAAAAGCATTCACATTGCTAAACTCACAAACTACTATTTAGTCACTTAGCCATAATACCAACTTACCTCATAATTTGTAATATTTTAAATTTAAGAATTAATCTAAGTCTGCCCAAAATGCCTTGCCATGCTAGGTGTTCTAGTGGTACACTCTGTAATTATTATTTTACTACGTGTAAACCACACAATAACCAAATTCTGTAAACTTAGCATTGTAATCCTTATAGAGAATAAACTTTGAATTGAATTGAATTGATTCTTTGCTGTGTTCAAAGAGTAAACCACATGATGTCACCATCCAATACCTGTCTGAATAGCCATTCCAATACATATGCAGTCATTCAATGAATGGGTTTACATTATTTATACTGTTGTTTAATAGCAAACAATGAACAAACAAAACACTCACCACAAAGCGGTGGGAGGGCTGGCTGCCAGTTGCAGGGGTCGGAGGGAGGGTAGTAGGGACTCGCAGGTGGCGGGAAACTTAAATATGATTTGGCGGCTGGGAATTGGGCAGTTGGGAATTCGCGAATGTGTGAAACCCGCAAAAGTTGAAAATGCGAATGTTGAGGGAGACCTGTATTAGACTCACCAGTTGACGTGTATTGGATGCTTGGCATGATTTGTTTACTTTTGAAATTCGGTAAAAATCGAACACTTCTGCTACTTTGAGCTCAATTTCAAGGTACTTTTCTTTATGAAACCAATGAAAATCATCTCAATTTCTGTAGTATGTCTTCCATTCTATAAAATGAGACCAGGAAAACTAGAATACAACCATAGATACCATACGAAAATGCAATGCAAACTCGCTGTTTTAAACCAAAATCACGGTTGGAGTTTTTTTTTTCTCATGCACTGTGTGCTGCAGGATTTTTTTTATGCTGTGCACACTGACCACATAGACCCATTCTTTCATATGTAGGCCTACCAGCTTTCTCTCAATAGATTTGAAGGTGCTAGAATTTAGGCGTTCTAGTACGTCAATAACCCTGGTGCGTAAGCCATACTAGTACGTCGGAAACCCTGAAACGGGTTAAGGGGTTAAAACGGTGACTTTGCGGTATATTTTCAAATGGTTTTTATGGTTGTAGTCTTGGTTTCTTGGTCTCATTTGATAAATGGAAAATATATTACAGGAATAAAGAGATGATTTTAATTGTTTTCAGGACTGAAATTGAGCTTAAAGTACCCAAAATGTCAAATTTTTGCCGATATTCTAGAGTACATCGTTGATGTCACTTGTCCAATATGCCTCCAACTGGCCAGTCTAATAAGCATTTAGGAATGCACTGACATTATTTATGCAATTATTACAGTAATGCAGTAGCCTGCATAACAATAAATCTTCTGTTCTGAAACTAATCAAAATCATCTCTGTTTCTATAATATATCTTCCATTCTATCAAATAAGACCAAATAACCGAGACTACAGCCATAAAAACCATATAAAAATACACCACAGAGTCACTGTTTTACACAAAAGAAAATAGTCACAGTTTTTTCTCATTATGCACTACAGGCTGCAGGATTTTTTTATATAGTGCACACTTACTACATGGATGTATTCTCTTATATCTAGGCCCAAATTTACCAGTCACAGCTTATCTGAGTGAGCTGAGCTCATGGCATCATACTACTGGACTGACAGTGGCTTCAAAGCGTGATACAATTGGACCAATAATGAAAAGGTTAATAAAGTTAACCAGTTTGACTTGCACAAGAAAGTTCATTACTACCACTTCCAAAGTGAAGAGCTGAAAGTAGCAGCTCAACATTTTCACTTACACATAGCCTAAGCCACTTCATCTGAACTTGACCTAGTTCCAAACTTTTTCCTTCCTTCATTGTTTTCCTTTTACACACATGTTTCTTTGAATCACTGTAAACAAAGAAACCAAGTAATTTTTTTTCTTTGTCATAAACTGTCGAAGAACCAATGCTCTATAATTCACACAAGCTTACCATACCACGGGCAGGGATAGAACCCACGATCAGAGTCTCTCAAAACTCCAGCCACTGGACCATCTAGCGGCGGTCTGGAGTGTTGAGAGACTGATCGCGGGTTCCATCCCCGCCCATGGTATGGTTTGTTTGCAATCGTGTCATTACGATTTCGTGAGACACACAAGCTTCTCAGACACACAGCTGTTGGAGTTTTTTCAGTAGTTCAACCTTATCTTTATGGACAATGCACGGTGTTTGTGTTTTACACAATGAGAAGCATTTCCTTTATTCATGGAACCATGGCAGGTCATAACAATAAATGGAGAAAAGCAAATTGGAATGGCTAGCCTATGTTTGCAAGTGACACCAACAGTGTTTATGCAGCAAGTAGCAGCAGGTTGGTGAGGTGACCCAGGAAGTTTGAAATTACGGTAGCCGAAATTAGTGCCGGATTAGTGATGGCTGACCTGTATTATGTCTATGGGTCCTGTTGCAACTATCAAGAAAGTGGTTCAGGTCTGGATTAATATTAAAATTTATTGTTCTGTAAGTGTAGGATGTACAGTAGTAAGAGTGAATGTTTTGTATAGTGAGTAGGCTTAGGTCTTGGAAGAATGGGGAGGCAGTGTTGTCAAGCAGTGGATTGTGTGATCATTTGTACTGCAGCTTTTTGTTGAGTTGTTATTGGCTTTAGGTGAGTTGCTGTTGTGGATCCCCAGGCACAAATAGCATAGGTGAGGTAGGAGTAGATCAGTGAATAGTATAATGCAAGTAGTGCTTTTTTTTTTTTTTTTTTTTTTTTTTTTTTTCAAACAAGTTGGCCACCTCCCACCGAGGCAGGGTGCTATTTGTGGTACATAATAATGTAGCTTTTAGAGGATGCCAACCATTTTGGATTTTTTTTTTTTTTTTTATGAGTGTTGAATTTCAAGTTGCTGTCAGATGCCCATTAAATTTTTTAAAGCCACTTTTACACAAATTTGATTGATCTACATAACTTGAACTCACTTTCATATTTAAACCATACAACGGGCGGGATTGAACCTGCGGTCAGAGAGTCTCAAAACTCCAGACCGTCGCGTTAACCACTGGACCAGCTAGCCACAATAAGATTCGTCCAACTAGGTACATTTCTACACCATAGGAAGGTTAGCATAGGCACCACTGTGACCACAAATGCAAGTTTTTACAGATGAATCTCCAGCTAGCGTGGCCGTGACGAACTCTAGCTCAAGTCCCCTCAATGCCGTCAACATGACTCACGAAATCGTAATGACACGATTGCAAACAAACCATACCATGGGCGGGATAGAACCCGCGGTCAGAGTCACGTTAGCCACTAACCTTCCTATGGTGTAGAAATGTACCTAGTTGGACGAATCTTATTGTGGCTAGCTGGTCCAGTGGCTAACGTGACGGTCTGGTGTTTTGAGACTCTCTGACCGCGGGTTCAATCCCGCCCGTGGTATGGTTTGTTTGCAATCGTGTCATTCCGATTTCATATTTATATTTATCTCCAGTGACAAGTAAACTTTCATCAATTACCGTAAGTTAACTTCCTGTACACGAATCTTCCTAGGTGGCATCTATTTCACATTAAATTTCCAATTCCTGGAGGTTCTGAACCTTTGAAATAATGTATGGCACTTGCCAAGGTACAGTACAGAGGTAAACATGTTGGGATTATTTTTTCCCCCATGCACATTTATTGGTGCTAAAGATAAATTGTGCAGCATGACATGAGACCCAGAGATTTTTTTTTTTTTTTTAATTCAATCACAACCTAGTTGTCTTACTTTGATCAATGCTACCACATGGCCGGGTTAATCAACTGCTTTTCCAGAGACTTGGAGGGAAAAGTAAGAATTTGTGAAAGAGGGAAGTACAAAATAGAGCATTCATTCATGATAGATATTATTTTTTGTATTAATGCTTTATAGGTGCAAGATTCTGGAATAAATGGTGGCCCACCTTCAGTTGAACTATTTAAGAGGAGTCACCCTCAGAATGAGCTAGTCTCCATTAATTTCACACTAAGTATGGACACCAGTCTCTTCAGGTATGCTCTTTTATTGTAATGAGTTATAAATGTGAACTTAGGTTAGTTATACACTCTTGCTTGCTTATAAAGATCTCCAGTGCTTGGTGCAGGAGATGCATTCTTGGCATAGGGCACATAAAGTGAATCCAGTGTAATATATAAAACAGGGGTTTGTTGTGAGGCTTTGCAAATTCCAAATTTCACGATTATTGTTAACTAAAAAATATTCTTTCAACAAACTGGCCATATCCCACTGAAGCACGGTGGCCCAAAAAGTAAAGCAAAAGTTTCTCTTTTTAAGTTTAGTAATGTATACAGGAGAAGGGGTTACTAGCCCCTTGCTCTCAGCATGTTAGTCGTCTCTTATGACACACATGGCTTATGGAGGAAGAATTATGTTCCACACACCCATGGAGATGAGGAAATAAACAAGAATAAGACCTAGGGGTTTGGGGTATTGGCAGTTTGGAGGGATGTCTAAGCTGTTGTATCTGAGTGCCTATGCAAAGACAGTGATTATGTATGAATGATGGTGAAAGTGTTGAATGATAATGAAAGTTTTTTCTTACTTTTGGTGTTTTACTTTCTTTTTGGGTCACCCTGCCTTGGTGGGAAACAGCCTATGTTTTAAAAAAAAAAAGTCTGATGGGACAATAAGCTGAGTACCAAAGATAGACTTACCATGAATTTTCTGGAACCCCCTAACATCATACGTTGGGCCCTACTGTATTTTTTATTTTTAACACACTGACCATGTCCTACTGAGGCAGGGTCATCCGAAAAAGAAAAACTCAGTATCATTCACACTATCACTGTCTTGCCAGAGGGATGCAGATATGACAATTTAGATGTCACTAAACAGCAGATATCCCAAACCCCTTCTTGAGAGTGCAGGCACTGTACATCCCACCTCCAACTGCTGTCTCCTTCTAAGGAAGAGTAACTCTAAGAAGAAAGCACATTTACCATCATTCATTCAGTCGCTGTTTTTCAAGAATTGTGCTGACATTACAGTTAGAGATTAAAAAACAAATATGGACTTAGTTATGCATAACAATTTTGGCAAAATATTGTTGATGATACCAGAGTCTATACAGTGTAGTGAATGTGGCTCTTTCTTATGTTGTGGTGTTTCTTTGGCGCAGTGATGGCGATAGAAACAATAACAGTGCTAATAAAGAGGCAATCCCCAACTCAAGCTCTCTCTGCCGACAGTCTTCCCTCAGCAGCCAGTCATCTAGTAGTCATGGTAACTGCACTTGTTTCTGGTATCAGTCATAGATTCATCTATAGTATGAATTATACTTTATGCTTAAACTTTAAACTTCATTTGCTATTAAATATTTCTAGATATGATAGTGTGATATAAGTGATGTATCATTCAACAGACATACATTGCACTGTATTTAAGATTGAGCACCTGTGATAGTAACCTCTGATATTAAGATTCCTGCAGATATATTATATGTACCATTATGCAAGAAGTGACTGAGAGAAAGCAAGAGGAAGGTGGGTTAAAAGGGGTAGGGAGTGAGTAGGAGATAATGGAGTAAGAGAGAGAAAGCAGGAGGGGAAAATGGAGTCAGAGGGGGGGAGGGGGAGAAAGACCATGGTGACAGATATTTAGTGTGAGAGAGAGAGAAATGTGTTACTTGGTAAAAAAAGATGAGAAAGAAAGATGTTGGTGATATAGTTACTTAAAATACATACAACATAATACATATAACATTTTGTTTTCTTAGGTAATTCAGGTCCGTCTTCCATAAGTAGCCAACATGATTCAAGTGCAGGATCCCCTAGGAGCTCTAGAACTAATTCACCATTAACCTCATTTTCAAGACAAAAGATTCCAGGTGCTCTGGTCCCACAAGAAATTCCTGCTGTGGGATCTTATTTTGATGTGTTTGTCACCTTTGCTGCTAATCCCTCAAATTTTGCTGTGAGTATAAAGCATTTATAATCTCTCCTTCTTTTCATTCTTATTGTCTGGTGTTTTTGCACCATATTAGCATCTTCAGCTCTTTCATTTAAATAGAAGACATGTTTATTTTAGGCATCTTACATATTGTTTTTTGTGTGTTATGTAGATGTTGTTTTAAACTTAAATAATATCCTAGCTTTGAATTTAACTTCTTTATTTTACTTTTTTTTTTTTATATATACAGGGTGCTCAAAAAGGATGCATCCCATGAAAAATACATATATTTTGTAACTTTTTTTTTCTATTTCATTGATCATTAAAACAAGAATAGTGTTCACATTACAGGATTTCTTTTAATAGTTTTAAAATTTAATAAATTTTTATTGAAATGAGCCTAATACACAGAGAGAACTACAGGTCAGCATTGAGCATAAAGTAGATGACATAAAAGATGTTTTAACAAGTGTTCAGTAATATGATTCATCATATGCATTTATGTGACAATCTTAATGGTCGACATATATACAAAATTTTGCAATTTTTTAATATGCATACTCCAGGGATTGCCTCTCTTTTTGAGCACCCTGTATAAGAATCCATTAACTTCTTTATACTATAATTGTTGGGTAAAAGGCACAAGTGCATCTAATGTGACAGTTTCACTCTCCAGGAGCTTTATCAAGCCATTAGAAATAATACATAGACACAGAGGGTATATACAGCCTCTCCTCACTTAGCGACATACTCTATTACTGACAATTTGGACTTAGGACGGGCTCTCTGACCAGTGTGCATACCTAAGTAATGTATATTAGAGCTGTTTTCCTCTATTCTGTTTATTACAGTATACAGTACAGTACTGTATAAACATTTTATAAACATTTAAAAATATACCAGAAATGTCATAAATGGTGCAAAGGTGACATTATAACAATATCAAAGATGGTTGACGCAAACCCACTACCATCATTGTATGCTCCTCATTTAGCAATGAATTCATTTACCGACGTGGTCTTAGGAACGGTACTCCGTCATTAAGTGAGGAGAGGCTATATATAGGCTTAGAGTGAGGTGAAGTAGTTATAATACTAGTGGTAGTAGTAGTAGTAATACTAGTGGTGGTAGTAGTAGCAGTACTAGTGGTTGTAGTAGTAATACTAGTAGTAGTAGTAGTAATAGTGGTAGTAGTAGTAATACAAGTAGTAGTAGTACAGTGGACGACCGGTATTCGATATTAATCTGTTCCTGAGAGCTCATCGTATGCCAAAATTATCGAAAGGCTAATTAATTTTCCCCATGAGAAATAATGGAAATCAAATTAATCCGTGCAAGACACCCAAAAGTATGAAAAAAAAAATTTTACCACATGAAATATTAAGTTTAATGCACACAAACTGAGGAAGACATGCACAGTTTGTAGTACTCTACTAATAATAGAATACATGACACTTACCTTTAATGAAGATCTGGTGATGATTGATGGGATGGGAGGAGGGGAGAGTGTCGAACTTATTGTTTAGAAGGGGAATCCCCTTCCATTAGGACTTGAGGTAGCAAGTCCTTTTCCGGGGTTACTTCCCTTCTTCTTTTAATGCCACTAGGACCAGCTTGAGAGTCACTGGACCTCTGTCGCACAACAAATCTGTCCATAGAGCTCTGTACCTCCCATTCCTTTACGATTTGTCTAAAATGGGCCACAACATTGTCATTATAATAGTCACAAGCACGGCCTGCAATAGCTGTGTTAGGGTGATTTTCATCCATAAAGGTTTGCAGTTCAACCCACTGTGCACACATTTCCTTAATTTTTGAAGTAGGCACAATGGATTCCACAACTGGCATAGGCTTCTCAGGGTTAGCCCCAAACCCTTCAAAATCTTTCTTAATTTCCATACTAATTCTCACCCTTTTTACCACAGGGTTGGCACTAGAAGCTTTCTTGGACCCATGGTGACTTATTTTGCAGAAACAAGCACCAAAAACACTGTGATAATATGGAATGTACCGAATATATGCTTAGATGCGAGCACACTGGCTGGCTTGTAAACACTGGCACACACGGGGCAGTTCAGGCCACACGTGGACACGTCTCGGACGAATCGCGTGTGGCAGGTTTTTTAACAAGTGGCGAGGCAAAATTTTTGCATTAAAATGTATCGAATACTGGATTTAACGGATACCGATACCATTGAATACCGGGGGACCACTGTAATACTAGAGGTAGTAGTAGTAGTAGTAGTAGTAATACATATGGTAGAAAAATCAACTTGTACATCAGTAAAAGGTTATAAAAGCTATTACTTGAGTAGCGTAAAAATATGTTAAATATTTCTGTTAGTGGTTGGATTTCAGAAGGTCTGTTTCAGTGTTCCTCCTCTGTTATGTTCCTGTGTAGTATTAGCAGCAGTGAGTATGTGATGGATTCTTGCTGATACTTCAGAGATGATGTAGCTGCCTTTATTTTGCTTAATTGTGTTAGAGACAGCAATTAATGACGATTCGAGGCATTTACGTCTGGGGAAACTAGGTTCTCTGATCACTAATTGCACTGAGAATGTTAAGCTCAAATGATGACCCATAAGCTAGTCTGCTTCTCTGAATATGTACTTACATGCTTAAATTCCAACAGTATGTCAAAACCCAGAGTTCATTTACCTCTTCTCCAAACACACTTGCATATTGTTGCAGAATGTCTGGAAGCAAATGTGCTGATACACAACAATTTGTAAATATATGACCTTCAGGATGAGGACATAGTGCCATACTATTTAGGCATGAATTGTATTGTAGCCAATGTCTGCTTGTGAGGAATAAGTTCTTGTAAATTTTTTAATTGTTAATTCTTTAACTGTGTACGATGTATATATTCATGGGGGACTCTGCACTACGTATATATATATACATAATTTTTGTAGTCCTCAAGTTTGGCATACATTGCAAGTTTTTGAAGTCCACAAAATTAAAGGTTTCTTATGTGTTTAAATTTTTGAACACACAAAGCGGGGTAGGCGTCGGCCTAGGAGAGGTTGGAGGGAGGGGGTAAAGGAGGTTTTGTGTGCTAGGGGCTTGGACTTCCAACAAGCATGTGTGAGTGTGTTTGATAGGAACAAATGGAGACAAATGGTTTTTAGGACTTGATGTGCTGTTGGAGTGTGAGCAAGTTAACATTCGGAGAAACCGGCAGGCCAGACTTGAGTCCTGGAGATGGGAAGAACAGTGCCAGCACTCTGAAGGAGGGTTGTTAATGTTGCAGTTTTATAACTATAGTGTAAGTGCACTTCTGGCAAAGCAGTGATGGAGTGAAGGATGATGATGAAAGTTTTTCTTTTTTCAGCCACCCTGCCTTGGTGGGAAGTGGCCAATGTGTTAATAATAATAAAAAAAAAATTTGAGGAGCTTATAAAATGGGAAATAATTTCCTGAAGGTAATACAGTAAAATGAAAAGTAATGAAATTGTTCCAAAACTGAGGGAAATACAAAAACATGATGTAGGAGATCATGGATCACTTGACAGCAGAGGGTCTTGCTGCATGACACCCAATATTTTCTTTCATATTTTTTCCAGCACTGTATGACCCTGGTGGGTTTAGCACTTGGTTTTGATTATAATAAAAATTTATATTATTTTATTTTTTCTGTTTGTTTTCAATTATAAGCATAACATGGTTTTCTATAGACATTGTGGAACAAAATTATATGCTGTAAATCACAGTGCCCTGGTGATGGACCAGGTGCTTCGACTCCTTCCGTATCCCAGTGATGGACCATATGCTTCATCTCCTTCAGTACCCTGGTAATGGACCAGGTGCTATAGGTCATTCAGTGCCCTGGTGATGGACCAGGTGCTTCAGCTCCTTCAGTACCCTTTTAAATAGTGCCCTGATTATCAAAGCTTATTCCATGGATGGAGTAGAAGGTGGGTTGGACAGATGTTTTTATTTGGGGGTTTTGGGTTTTCGGATTTTTGAGGGGGACCCCCTAGTGTGGGCGGGTTTGGGCCCTTTGCTGCAGTTTTTACTTCTTTATGTGTTTTATGAGTGAGAGGGGTTGGTTTTGAGCGGGGGATTTGCAAAAGGGTTTGGGGGGGGGGTTTCTTGTTTTTGGGGGGTCGGGGGGAGGGGTTTGGGGAAATTTTTTTTTTGTTGGGGGGTTGTTTTTGACATGGACCTGCCAAAGGTTTGGGCCCAGTGGGCCCTGTTGCAGTGCTCCCCCCTTTTCTTATTTTTCTTATTTGTTTTGGGTTTTTTTGACTTTTTCTAAAAATTTTTAATTTGGACAATCACTGTATGTGTTATTGAATTTTTTTGCAGTGTGTGGAACTCCTAAAAAAAAGGTCTAAGACAATTTTTTCCCCAAGAACATACCCCTTTTAATTTTTTTTTGGAGATTTGGGGGGGGCCCCCCCACCCCCCCCCCCACAACCCCCACAACCCCCCCCACCACACCAACCCCCCCCACCACCACCCCCAACCCCGGACCAAAAAAAAAAAAACCCCCCCCAAAAAAAACAAAACCCCCCAAAAACAAAAAAAAAAAAAAAACAAACCCCCCCCCAAAAACCCGGGGGGAAAAGGGAGGAAATTTCCAAAAAAGGGGGGAAAAATTTTTTTTTTGGGGGGGGGGGGGGGGAAAAAATTTTTGGAAAAGACCCCCGGGCCCGGGAGGGAAAGGGGAAAAAAATTTTTTTTAGGGTCCCGGGGGCCCCGGGGAAAAAAAAGGGGGGGGGGGGAACAACCCCCCCCCCCAAAAAACCCCCCCAAAAAAAAAAAATTTTTCCCCCTTTTCCCCCCCCCCCCCCCCCCCCTTTTTAAAACCCCCCCCCCCCCCCCCAAAACCCCCCCCCCCTATGGGGGGGAAAAGGGGGGTTGTTTTTGACAGGATGCCAAGTTTGGGGGGGGCTTGTTCGTGCCTCCTTTCTTATGTTTTTTTGCTTTGGTTTTTGACTGTTTCTAACATATATACATTATGGACAATCACTGTATGTGTTATTAGAATTGTTGCAGTGTGTGGAACTCCT